GAGAGTGTGTGTGTGTGTGTGTGTGTGTGTGTGTGTCTCTGAGAGTGCTGCTGAATCAGAGCATGTAATTGGTTTGTAGATAATTTAATATAATTCCGCACAGACACACCTACAGGAATAATGGCATGTACACTACACACTTCAGAATCAGAACTAGGTGTATTGCCAAGTTGGTTCACACATTTGCCTTGGTGTATATGGTACTGTATAGATTGTTTGTAAGAAAAGGACCAAACAAATCTAACAATTATAAAAAACTATTTTTAGATAACATTAGTCTTAAAGTGAATGTATTTAACCACTATGCAATCAAACACACATAACTTAACACAGCCACACACACACACACACACACACACACACACACACACACACACACACACACACACACACACACACACACACACACACACACACACACACACACACACACAGATGATTAAGCAGTAATAGGGTCCCAGGGAAGAGGCCAACAGAGATTTTCATCCAGCATGACTGTGAAGTAGGGCGGAGGATAAAGCATCTCCAAGGAGGTACACAAACACACACACATACACAAGTTCATACTGTATACACTTTCTGTTACCACATGTCCACTCACTCACAGGCCAATGCGTCCGGGCGCGCTCCTCCCTCCCACAGCGCAATTCCCTCTCAAGCATCCGCAGTGTCCATTTCGAGGAAGAGGGGATGGATGGAGGGGAGGGAAGAGAGGCAGAGTGAGAGGAGGGGTTGGATCGGGGGATGGAGGGCTATCCATGCATGCAGAACCACAAATTCACTCACCCAGGCTAGGCCTAAGAACAAGCCCTACTCGACACACACACACCCGGACCGGCCTCTTTGGAGACCCCCGGGGCCCTGTAGCGTTTCTATATCAAGTTGGCCCCGGCAATTTCACAAACAGCCTCCATAACATCACATGCTCTCGCTGCCTGAACTGTACAAAATGGGTACACTGTGTTCATGGATGCAGCTCTTACAGTTCTGGCCTATATGCTAACACTTTCCCTGTCCCCCCCCCCGCCAGCTGATAAGACACACAAACTTGACTCAGTGGTCCTTGTGTCCGTTATCATTTGTATTAGTATTATCCTCACAGATCTAATTAGGACTTGTTGAAGTTATCGGCCTTTTAAAATCACACATGGGGTGGTGGAAGAAGCTGGAAGAAGCTGGAAGTATAACGGCCCCTACACACGGCGGCGTGCATTGTCGCTTGCCGGCTGAAACTCGACCAACAACCAATCACATGAATCTCCCGCCCCCGGACACACAAGCACGCGGTTTGATTGGCTAGAGCTTGTACTGGCATATGATTCGATTGGCTGACGTCGAGGCGTCAAAAGTAGAACATTGCTCTACTTTTGCAGCGAGCACCGCGAGAGAAGCTACGCTTTGCTCCCACAATGCAGTTCGGCAAATCGTGACGTCACCCCATTCAAAGTGAATGGGCAGAAGCGTTGAAGCGGCAACACACGCCGCCGTGTGGACGGGCCGTAAGTCTGGCATTCAAATGTTAAAGTAGAAGTGCAGAGTATTGTCACTAAATATACAATAGTATTTATTATATCATTGGATTATTAAGTGCTGGTAAAGGTGGATCTAACTTTAATGAGTTTTTGTCCTTTTCTCAATCCATAATTGTACATAATAATGTATAAGTCGATTACCATTTTTATTTTTTTATTTGTATGCATTTTCATTTTTGATTCTCTTTTCTGGTTTTTAATTGAATGTATTTTTCTTATTTCATCTTTATGTTATTCAGTTGTCTGTTATTGAGTGTTTTTATCAATCACAAAAATATATCTTACTACTAGAAAGGGGGGTTAATACTGTTGTTTATTTGTTTATATTTTGGTTTGTGAAGCTTGTTGTGATACTTTTGTGTTTGCAAAGTTATATAAAAAAAAGTTTGGTTTGATATATCCATCCACCAATTCCACTTTATCTCCTTCTACTAACTTTGCTGTGTTGCGTAACTGCCACCGTTGCTTCAGTGTGCTTGAAAATAATTCGAGCTTGAAAGGTTAGGCAAATAAATATTGCATTACAAGACGAGGAGGTTTTTTTAAACGTCTTTATGTTAGATTCATGAGGAAACCAAACCCCATATGGCTTCTCTGGCTGGGAATTAGCCGGATTGTGTTGACACATGGTATGTTTAAAGGGGCTTAAATGTAAATTGGCTTCTTAATTGAATTTGAAATCAGCGCGAACAGCTGCTATAGATATTATCTACTTATATCTGCAGAAAATCACAACTGGCTCTCTCAGAGTGAGCATTGTTCTCTATTGTGTGGAAATATTAGACCATAAAGAGTCCTTTTCCGGTCTCCACGGACTCCACTTTGGGTGACGTGCATTTGACAGATCGATGGCGACTAGTGAGGGAAACACAGGAAGTGGCACTTGGGGGCGAAAAATGCCGAATGTTTTTCAGGCACAACAGAGTTCCTACAAAGTGACAGAGTGAGTTTCAGCTGCAGAGTCACGACCGGACGTGCTTTCCTTTTCTCTTTACATCAAGTTTGTGTCTTAAGTTATTGTGAAACTAAAGGACGAGGTCATCTTCGCCGAATTAGCACACATCTAAAAGTTAAATGAGCGTCCCAGGTGGCTGAGAGTTGATGTGCGCTCCTGTGTGCTTGAACACTGTCTGAACTCTTCTGCTCTCAAATGCATACACACAGATGGTACAAGGCTTGCAGATGCAGCGCAATCACAAAGCTCCACCTCCAGAGAGACGGAGAGGTAGAAGGAGAGAGAGAGCATATTTTCTTCTGATGTAAATTATGAATTATTCACCCTGTGCTTAAAGGTGAAAAACGTCCCAGGGTGACAGGTGTGCATTGGTGCGTTCATACAGTATAAATGTACCAAGTAGAATGAAATGAGCAGGAAACTGAGTTTGTTTTTCGTCCCCAAAGACTAGTCAAGTCTTCAGTCAAACATGGTTCATAAAGGTGGAAATAAATGTGAAATCAATACAAAGACAACTCCACCTGGTTTCAGAATCAGATTCAGGTTTTGTTAAATGCTGCATTCAAAAACACAGTAGGAGGAATTAGGTTGTCAAAAAAGGGTGCAAATATAGAAATATAAATTTAAACTATTATACAAATTCAAAAAAATGTATAAAAACAACAAAAGAACAAGCAGAAAAAAGCTTAGATATATAATAAAAATATGTTAATATATATATATCATAAATTATAATATTCAAAAATAATAAAAAATAAAGCTTGATTATAAACAATATACAAAATATGATATACAATTATTTTGAGCAAATCAAATGACAAATGACCCTGAAAAACTAAATATGGGCAGTATATAGTGAAAGCCGAAGAGCTGTGTAGTTAAGTAAGAGGTAGCGGAGAACAGAAATGTGCAAAACACAGAGACACAAGCATGTTATAAAATCTTCTATTCTGTCGTTTTCTGTCACAGAAACTCCACTGCTTTTGGATCATTGTTTAAAGCATCTGCTGTTTGGAATTCACGGGCTAACAATGTGCTTTTTTTTTTGTGTGTGTTTGTGTTCCTTTAGCAACTCAACTGAGGCTGGGGGGACATATGTTAAGAAGTGCTGCAAAGGCTTCTGCATCGACATTCTGAAAAAGATTGCCACGTATGTAAAGTTCACCTACGACTTGTACCTGGTAACCAATGGCAAGCATGGCAAGAAAATCAACAACATCTGGAATGGGATGGTGGGAGAAGTAAGAGACACTTTAGATTTTTTACATTTGATTACATTTGATTTGTGCATGAACCTGTGCTTGCCTCTTTATGTGTGTCTTTATATGTACTGGCACTGTGTTTTAATAATCTACATTTCCCCTCTGTGGGACAAATACAATTTACAATGATTTAGTAGTAGCAGACTACTGACTAGCTACCTTAAGGACTAGTTATCTTTCCCTGCTAGTCTTTAAGGTAACATATAAGAAAATGTATTGATGAGTTTTCACTTGTAGCAACTCTGAAATGTTAGGCTGAGAGGAAATCACATATGTCTCTGTGACGGGATATTCCTGTTCCTTATGTTCCAAAAAAAGCTTTAGTTGTTGACTTTGCAAAACTTCCACATCGCAGGGAAAAACACTTTCAGCTACGAGGCGTTGGCAGCAGCTGTAAATGCTTGGAAAGTAAACACATCTTAGCTACTCCTGCAGAAAGTGTTTTGCATATCTTTAATTGCCAGCTCCAACTTGAAGTCCCAGAGTTCGTTTTAGGACTGTAAAGTTATTGCTGACTATATATATATATATCTTATTCCATGGCAGACTTTTCCCGCTCATTTGAAGTTCATTCATCTTATTTAGCAGTGACACCCGCTTACATATTGATTTTAAGAATCAGCCTGGGATTAAAAACTTTATTGATGTGGAGTCAATGAGATTCAAATGTTCTGGGGTATGCTTGGTAGGAGTTTGGATGTATTTTGGTTTAGAGTTTTTAGAGCGTTATAATAAAGATATGTAGTAGGTTGACTACTGAAGAAAATCACCAAATAGGGGAGTTTTTTCTGCACTTCTGAGGGTCTAAAGCTAATCTGTTAGCATCAGTGCTAGTCAGACTGAACCGTCACTCACTTCATATGTGAAAAATCAGTGAATGGCAAAATTATTAAACAATATTCTTCCTTTCCTTTTTCTATTTTCTCTTCTTTCCCCTTCTACCTAATGATTTACCCATAATCCTTCTCCCTCTTAATTTACCCCGTTTGAATCCTCATCTCATCCACCTTTCTTCAAACCAACCATCTTTCTTCTCCCATATCTTCTTCCTCCCCCTTCACATCAATCTCTTCCTCCCTCCCTGTCTCGCTTCCTTCATCCCTAATCACCCTCCTCATCCATCCTTCCATCCATCCATCCATCCGTTTCCTCCCCCCCTCCCTTTCGCCCCTCGTCCCTCCCTCTCCCCCGCCCTTAAAGGTGGTCTATAAGAAAGCCGTCATGGCCGTCGGATCTCTGACGATCAATGAGGAGCGTTCTGAGGTCATCGATTTCTCCGTCCCGTTCGTGGAAACGGGGATCAGCGTCATGGTCTCCCGTAGCAACGGAACGGTCTCCCCGTCAGCCTTTCTCGGTAACTGTCACCGAATGAACTGTGTTGCTTTGACTCAGGAGGGATAGGGAGGAAGATCTGTTTGCTTTACTTCAGTTTATGTGAGTGTAGAGAGGTATTTGTTTGTGTGTGCGTGTATGTGTGTGTGTGTGTGTGTGTGTGTGTGTGTGTGTGAGCCGACAACACGCTGCTGTCAATACTTGCTCTTTCACCGCTGGGATTTAGCTCGACTCCTACTCTCCGCCACAACGACTCTCACTTACCTGAGAGGGTCTTAACCGCAGGATTTCCAAATCGAGTGATCGTGGATATCCCTGTTTTCGGCTGCTCAGTCACGTTCGTTTCGATCCGAGTTCCTGCACACAAAGGGGGCACACGCAAGCATAAAAGTGAAGAGGTACACACACACACTCACATGTATGCAGCGCGCCGTTACTGCTGTGAAAGTGGCAATTATAAGGGCTTATCAGGAATACCCTGTTTTGGCCGCATGCCAGGATGCACACACACACTAGCACACACACTCTGAAAGTGCGCGGCGCTTTGCCAGCAGTGCTCTCCCATACATTAGAGCCCGGTTTAATCTCTGCGGTAGTGTTGTGAGCTCCGAGGGAGGACAGGAGTGCTGACACCAGGGCTTCCTGTACTGCGCGCCTCCTCACACTGTCAAATAGAAGGTGGTCTGTGTGTGTGTGTGTGTGTGTGTGTGTGTGTGTGTGTGTGTGTGTGCGTGCGTGCGTGCGTGCGTGCGTGCGTGCGTGCGTGCGTGCGTGCGTGCGTGCGTGGGGGGGGGAGTCAGTTTGTTAAGCCACGCAGTACTTTCCTCCACGTGATTGATTTATTCGTTCAGTTCATGGAAAGACAGAAAGTGTCAGAACAAGTGATGTGTAAGAGATAAAAAAAATGTAATCCAACATGTGTTAATACTTAATCTCTGTCTTCTTATCCTCTCTCTTCCCCTCTCTCAGAGCCATTCAGTGCATCAGTGTGGGTCATGATGTTTGTGATGCTACTGCTGGTGACTGCAATGGCTGTCTTTATGTTTGAGTACATCAGTCCTCTTGGATTCAACCGAAACCTGGCGCAGGGCAGAGGTACGCATCCACACACATGAGAAAACATTTGTATTTCTACATTTTGTGTGCTTTTTCTTCTACTAAACCATCATCCCTCTCCTTCGTCCTCTCTTCCAGACCCCCATGGCCCTTCCTTCACTATGGGCAAGGCAGTGTGGCTGCTGTGGGGTCTGGTCTTCAACAACTCTGTGCCTGTTCAGAACCCAAAAGGAACTACCAGTAAGTTCATAGTGTCAGTGTGGGCCTTCTTCGCTGTCATCTTCCTGGCCTCCTACACTGCCAACCTGGCCGCCTTCATGATCCAGGAGGAGTTTGTGGATCAAGTCACCGGGCTCTCCGACAACAAGGTAATAGATGATACTTGGGAGTGGGTACTTTGTTGATTACATTTGGCCTGGAGGGGGGTTTGTTAGTTAAAAAGTTAGATTTGAAAGGAACAGCCCAACCATTCAAAATAGTATTGAATGGTTGATATAGAACATTGAAATACTGGTGGTACCCTGCATAAACAAACCCCAATCCCCCAGGGTCCTGGCATAGACATTACAAGACATGGCATGGGTAAAAAAAGAAAAGAAATACATAAATAAAAACAGACACAAACAAATTAAGTGCATCAGCAATCAAAAGTTAGTGTGTGCACTAATGCCTTTTGGTTAACTTCTCTATCGGCTTGTATGTGTGTCTAGAAACGTTCCCAAGGAGTATCTGCATTATTCCACTTGCATTGTCTCACACTGGGACTGTTGGCATTGGAGCTGCTGTTTTCAGCATCCAGAGAGGGTAGAACATGATGGTCTTATGTGGCTGAAACACATTTTTAAAGCAAATGTATTCCAACATTTATGCACTTCTAAAGTCTCAAACTCACAAGTTCTACAATCGTAAGTGTTGAGCAAAAGGACTTGACTACCTTTTCAGTGCCTATCTTAAAAAGCCAAGCAGTTCAGGGATGCATTTGCTGCAACAAGAGTACAAATAAGTGCCATGTATTATATAGAATTGAATATGAAATGTCATGCGGTATATGTGTGACATTTCATACAATAATTCAAGTGCACTCCAAAAGTAATTACACTCTTGCTGGTAAAAGCATCCGCTGTAAAGATTGTGCAGGAAATCCATAAGAAAGGAATTTCTTAGACATTTGGATCCACAATCCACAAAGTATTAGGAATTGTGTCTTGATTGTTGTGTTTCATTTGTGTTTGAG